GGGCAAAGGTCACTATTTGATAACCGCATCCAAACCAACTGAAAACATCCTTTTTTTTGGTATGTGTTTATAAATGGTGGCATTTTCCAGCTGGAGAGTAATTTCTCTTTCTGTTTTGTTGAAAAAAATGGCTTTTAGTCTTGTTTTAGCTGCTTGTTAGAGCTCTAAAACAAATCCGTTATTGTTGTGTTTTGGTGGTCTCCCTAGGGGTCAGAGGTCATTCTCTCCATGTTTTCATTTTCCCTACTATATTTCGCTGGTCAGAAATTGAAATTTTTGGACTAAATGGACAATTTGGAGGTTGGACTACCCTGTCAATGTGACTTTTCCACAGTTGAACACTCAGGTAGGTAGTTTTTGACAGCTTATTTTTGGTATGTTTACATTGCAAGTCTATGGGACTTTGAAATGGTGGGCTGTCCCCCCAAGGACAGGTCCTTGGTGTGTTAACGTTGAAGGTGTTCATTCTGCCGCGAAACACAGTCCCCGGTAAATGAATTTACAATAATAAGAAAATCGGACAAAGTGTTATATTTCATCATGTGGTCTCATACATAGAGGTTATTCGTTAAGCGTTTGTCAATAACAGGAATACTCAAGTCACCATGCGGCTCCATTCGTAAATAGATTACCGGTTTCACATTAATTAGACACGGCTGTTTTCCACACCTGTGTAAAATCCGTTCAAAATGGCGCTCTCGCACGACAGGAATATTCTAGGCTACTACTTCCCCCACTTTTCGGGTACTTTCTTGAGTTTTTGCCAGTTGTATTTCTTCTTAAGTGTGCAGCAGAGCGTTAGAGGAGTTTTCTATGTCTGCCATTATTATGGTGATGTTTTAAAGAGAATACGGATTTCCTGACCTGGTGAATTTTGGAGAAGGCAACAAAATGGCGGGACAGTTGGAGTTGCGTGGTATGGAGACGACTTCACTTATTGTTCGGAGGTAAACGTACAGACTTGTTGGCTGACAATTTGACACAGTTCCTTGCCACTGTTAAGATCTCGTTTCGTATGAAATGACCTAGTTCTGTAAGTTCCAAGCGACCGTCCCTACTTTACAACAGACTTTGTCACTTTATTTTACCGCGTTCTCTTGAGCATTGAGCATTTTCCATGTGTGACATTCTTGTAGAGTATTATATGTATGTGTATGTTTTTGTGTGAAGTGTTCAACGTTTTGAGGTTACATTAATTGTAGAAAAAGTGAATTTTCTTTATCTACACGTGGTTCAAAACATCTGTTGGAATGTGCACGTGTGCACGATTTAATGTACATTCTATTTATTGTTCCCGCCAAAAACTCGCGTAAACAAGGCCCTCAAACTTCAAAGCTTGAAGGCACCGAAATAAACACAACAAGTCTGGAAAGTTCAGTTCAGTCGACCTTACTTCTATTCTTCTGTACATGTATCATGCATAATTTAAAAATTTCATTTTAGACTAATTGAGTAATTGTAATGACCAAACACACATTTGACTTTGCTTGGCTGTCACCATATTAAATAATTATCATATGAATCTCGGCGACCAGGTGTTGGCGGGTTAAA